TATAAGTAATAATATACTACTATATATATATATATATATATTTATGTGCGTGTGTGTGTGCGTGTGTGTGTGTGTGTGTATTCTAATTCCTTTAATTGCAACAAAGTAGCAAGTATATTTCAAATATTCTATGTACTGTATTTCATGGATATTTATAACACAATACCTATCGCACGGTAAGAGACGAGAAACTCTCAATGTGCAGCACATTTAGTAGGCGTGGCATACATACATTCATATTACAATACAATTTTAAAGACTGAACGCCAACTTACTTGTCGAATAGCTAAAGCGTATTTCTCGGCGGCAGTTGCCGGAGCAGGAATCTCATCTAATGGAGCTTCCATTATGTATTACGTAGTTCGGTTTCAAGTTGATATAAAGCACACAAGGAACCGGAACTCCCTACGCTCGCAGACTTGTGCTTACAATATACTTGTAGAATGGCACTTGTCTTTATGCTGGTTTAATACATATTCATCAATATATATTCAGTTGGTGCAACCTTCATGTGCGAACTGGGACTGCTTTTTTTGGTCCAAAACTCGGAATTCCTCTTTGGTTGCCAACAAAGAAAATAAACACACCGCAGTAGAGCATGTAGCGTTTTGTATTTAGAAAACCCTATCCAAGCTACCATCATCTTCATCACGGATGCTAATCCCAATACGTTTTGCGTTTGAACGTATAAACTTTGGATATTTTACGTTCAATGCGTATGTACGAGATGGCCCTACTGAAGTGGCGACGGGAGCAAGTTTGGCGCCTTGAGGTTCAATATCTTCTACAATATTGTATTAGAGTGTCCGAAAAAGGTGGATTCGATTTCAATATTTTGTCTCCTTTAAACGTTTCAAAAATATAAATCGTAGAAATAAGCGTTTACGTTCAACTTTTACCGGTGCATGGATTTATTGGATATGCATTCACAGAAGTATTTATATATTGAATATGCAAGTTACTGTATCTATTTGTACTGTACAGGAGGTGATAGCCGTGTATCACCTTGTTGGCGAGTGTGTTTTCTTGGGGTGTAGGTGGTAGGTGTGCTTGATCTGTCAAACTAGACGCGCGGGAAGCCACAACAAGCTTAGCACAGATACACAGTGTCCTCTTAGTTGCCATATCGACCGAGAGCTATGTCACACCTGGTTGGCGCGAATGGAGACTTCGGTTTCCATCGTATGGGTATGCCGTCACGGCTGCCCAACTTGCCTAATTTAGATGTGTTTGGGGGTATGGATAAGAAGGACACCAGCCTGAAGACGAAATTGGAGTCCAATAACCATAAAGATGCGCTGAATGCTATGAAGCAGGTGGTTGCTATGCTTGCATCAGGGCAGGATGTAGCGTATCTCATGCCATCTGTGGTTAAGCAGGTGAGGTCAGAGTGTGTGCCAGGGCGTATGTCAGAGCATATGTCACGCTGATCGATATATATATATATATATATATATATATATGACTATATATGTATATATGACTATACATATGACTAAA